CCATTTCCACAAAATCCTTTTTCTTCTCTTTGTAATTAAATATTTAAAAAAAATTTTTAGGTGTAGGATTAAGATGCACAAGAGTGAATGACAAGTAGGCAAGAAGGAAGAGAAAGAAAATAATCAGGAGGTGGTCATGAAAAGAAAAACAGAGAAGGCAAAAGGCAAATAAAGCCACTATAATACTTAGTAAGAAGAATCCAAATATTCTCTTGGCTCAAAAATTGTTAAAACCACTGACTGCTGACATCAAATGCTGATTCTTTGTCTTCCTAATTTTTCCACCTACCTGTGCTGTCCATACAAGTGAAGACCTAGGTGCAAAGCACCTCAAGATACTTGAAGGCACCTGAGCTCACCTAATGCACCTCACCTGTACCTTGCATCTTGGCGCTCTCGCTAGCCAGCCCCTTGTCTACAACGCTGTCATCTCTCCCTACCCTCATACTGGCAGCCCTAGTGGTTGAAGGAGCTGTTGACTGACTCTTAATATCTCACTGATGGGAAGGTAAAATGGTAGAAACTGCTTAAGAAAGCAGCATGGCAGGCAACCCCGGGTGGCTCAGCGGTTTAGCGCCACCTTCAGCCCAGGGCCTGATCCTGGAGACCTGGGATCGAGTCCCACGTCGGGCTCCCTGCGTGGAGCCTGCTTCTCCCTCTGCCTGTGTCTCTGCCTCTCTCTCTCTTTCTGTGTCTCTCATAAGTAAATAAATAAAATCTTAAAAAAAAAGAAAAGAAAAGAAAACAGCATGGCAGTTTCTTAAATCAAACATGGAGCCACCGTGGGACACAGACATTCCACACCTATGGAAAAATGCCAAGAAAAGATGCTGCAAAATGAAACCGTATGTCCACACAAAGACTTGTACACGAAGACTTGATAGCAGAATTAATTGATCAAAGCCTCAAGTGGAAACAATCCCCAACTCGATCAACTAGTGAATGGATAAGCAAAACATGGTATGTTCATAGGACAGGCTCGTCCTAGGCAATAGAAAGGAGCTAAGTAGTGGCATGCTGGAAAATGGATGGGACACCCACACTGGCATCCTCACCTCTGCCAGTCATTTATGTGTCGGGGCCCGAGGCCCCGGGGGCCAGTCTTCCACCCTGAGAACAGTGCACTGACCACTACTTGGTGCGCCACCGTGCCGCTGACCTCGAAGTGCAGGCGCTGGGGGTAGCACTCAGTACTTCCTCCACGGCAAACGCCTGACCTTGTCTGGCCTGGCTGAGCCAGGCTGCAAGTGGCTGATGTTCTGAAAACAGTTTCAGGAACAATCATATGAGCAAAGGAAGACAACCCAGAGACTTTTCAAGGCACTTGGAGACCGAGGAAAACGAGGGAAGAATAAAGAATGGGTGTAGGATCTCTGTTGAAATTTATGGAATTCACACAGAAACAAGAATTCTGATTTTGTTACCTGCTGATAACAAAAAATATTTCAAAGGGAGTTTTAAACCTACTTAAGAAACACCTGCTGGAAACACCTGATACCAAAGATAGATGTTTTAAGTATAATTTATTCTCACTGAGGCAGTAGAGGAAGCCAATGAGACTTTAAGTTGCAGCAAATTGTAAATGTAATTCGAATGGCCTTTCTTCATTGAACATTGTTGCAACTGAATGTCTTTAGAAAGGTTAAGTACTGCCCACAATTATACTGAGGGAGGGAAGTCTCTACCACATTCATAGAAGTGCTCTATTTTAATCTTGCAAATGTTAATAAGTTTATATGTAATCTCAGGGCGGTTATTTCTAAATTTGGACATTTCACACTAGTGACCACACTCTAGACCAAACATCTAGACCTCACTACTTGGGGATCTATGACCAAAAGGCCCCATCACTGAAAGCGTTGATTAAAATTATCCCAAACGAAATGGAAAATTTGGGAAGCAAAAACAAGAACAGCTTTCTAAGGACTTTCTCTTACGCTTTATATCCAAATAATATGCTAATTATAAGAAATCTTATTATCATTAAAAAACCAATACCGTTTCATTTGAAAGTGCTGAAAATGGCTTCCTTTCATCATATCCTACAATTACTGATTAATTATAATTAACCTGAGTAGAATGGCCTCTTTTTATATCCTTCACAATAGTGGCTCTCAAACTTTTTGATCTCAGGACCCCTTTCTGCTCTTAAAATTGATTGAGGACCTCAAAGAGCTTTTGGTTCTGTAAGTTACATCTATCTACACTTTCTGTAGTGGAAATTTAAAGTGAGAACATTTAAAACATATTTATTACCTGCTTAAAAAAATAAACTCATTATATCTTTTTAAATTAGACATACCTATATTTTCAAAAACGAAAGAAAAATTGAAAGGGTAGTACTGTTTTACACTTTGGAAATACATTTAATGTGTGCTTTCATGGAAAACACCTAGATTCTCAAGCATGCTTCTACATTGCTTGCCATCATGTGCTGTTTTGGTTCAAGTATACCCAAAAAAAAAAAAAAAAAAAAAAAAAAAAGAAAAAAAAAATCCAGCCTAACACAAATCTGGAACTAGAAAAGGGAAGAGTATTTTAACAGGCTTTTCAGATCATTGTGGTCATTTTTCTGTAATACTATACCAAAATTTAACAAGTGACAGTTTCTTAAAAATTAGCTGCAGCGTGGAATCTGAAACCGTTATCAATGAACTTTTCATACTCTATTCCATGAAAATCCACTGGTTTATCTCATACAATATCAAAAAAATATATCACTTTTGTTAATATGGCTATGGGTCTCACCAGAAAAGTCTGGTAAGTACTGGGAAGCTGTTGGGGCACCTGGGTGGCTCAGGGATTGAGCGTCAGCCTTTGGCTCAGGTTGTGATCCCAGGGTCCCGGGATCGAGTCCTGCATCGAGTTCCCTGTGTCTCTGCCTCTCTCTGTTTCTCTCATGAATAAATACATAAAATCTTTAGAAAAAAAAAAAAAGTACTGGGAAGCTATCAAGTTTATGGAGGTGGATGCAAGTTTTCCAAAGCTCTTATTTTTACTAGAAAGCTGGAATTTTTCCTTTGGTAATAAATACTGTCAGTTGTTTTCCTTGAAGTGGCAGGCAGGCAGGCTCAGTGTATTCATTTGCAATGTGTATTCTAGGTTCAAGATGTAATTAAATTTATAGAAGACCTTCTTGGTGTAACCAGTTCTCTTTTTAAAAACTGTGTGTGCAGACCAGCTGGATGAAGCCAAAGCTTCAGCGTTTTACCCTGCTGGTTCTGAACTATCAGTGTGCCTATCAGCAGTATTCACACGCTCAGTGTCACAGTGCAAATAGCTCTGGCCTTCTCAGCCCATTGAAAGGATATCGATGAACTCCCTGGGAGTCCGCGGGCCATACTTTGAAACCTGCTGTGTTACCACATAATAACTGACCTCCAACCACCATTCTAATCACTAGTGGCAGCCCCCAATTTAGAAAGGTCTTCTTGCTTGTTCAGGTTATCCATGTATATTACCTGTCCCAAGAACATTAATATAAGTAGAAGGCTATTTCCACAATCCTAATTCAATACAGAATCATGAAAAATGAAATCTAGTTATCATGTAAGGACACAAGAAACTAAACAAACTAAATTTACTATGTAAATTCTCCAAGAAATTTAAAACATTTTCCTTAATTTATCCACTTATGTCCCCATTTGTTGGGCTGTTTTGTGAAGGTGTTTGCTCAGTATTGGAGAATGCTCAGTGGACAGATGGACGGACAGACACCCCCTCTCCCCTCCATGGGCTAGGGTTCACAGGGTGTGAAGCAGTCAGGAAAAAAGAGCAGAGGCGCTACAGCCAAACTCAGCTAATAAGAGGCCCTTGTAGGTCCCCACCCTACAAGTAGCCTTGTCCTTTGTCATCTCCGAGTCTGTTTTCTTAGCTGGACAGGAGGCAAATTCCACTTCACACTGTGAGGACTGGAGGAAGTGCCAGAAAGCATTATTAGCACAGCCCCCAGCAGCTATTCAGTAAATGGGAGCTACTATTAGGAGTAAGGTGTCCCGGGGCCAGTCCTCCGGGTCTAGAGGGGGCGTGGGACACACACCCAAGTAATTATGACTCAGCATGGGATCTGGTTAACAAAATGTGCTGGGAGTAAGAGGAAAATCAATGATCTGCCCTAAGGGAGGAAGGTGCTATCATAAAGGAGCCACCATCTCAGGGAAGTGGCCCTGCAGGAGGGCAGAGAAGGTACAGAGTCCATCAGACACAGAGCAGCCAGGCACAGGGCAGACGGAAGGAAAGCACCCTGGAACCAGCTCACTTTGGGCCTCCAGTGCCACACTAAGGAGTGCAAATATTGGAGGAGATTTTCTAGAGACTGAAGAGAACATATAAACACTCATTGCTAACGGGTCATCTGGTGTCCTGCTGCCTTGGTGTCCTCACCCCCACTAGGCACATGTCCTACGCATGCCTGAGACCTGTTAGCAGTCCCCAGGCCTGGGCCTGACTAGTGTAGAAAGAACAGAAGCCAAGCTCCCCTCCAAAGCCGTGGGACAGCAGCAAGCCCCAGCACCAGGGGGAACCGGGCCTTGTGGTTTTAAAGCACAAAGGAGGCAGCACCTTGGGCAAAGCCGTTTGCATTCTCTCTGCCACTTTTAAAATCCTGAAGCAGGAAATTTGATCTTCATTCATCCCAGCCCTGTTCTGCCTCAGGTCCCGTGCTCCAGTGGAATTTCATAGATCGCCTCGCTCAATGGAGCAAGAACAGAAAGAAGGTCCAGGGCCCCCGTGTTTTCCAGCACAACTCGTCACCTGTGAGGTCTCCGGCCTGGCATATGTGGGCCCCGAAGCCCACGGTGACCTCCCGTCTCTCTTGTTCTTTGGCAGGGACACCAAACGCTGCTTGGTGGCACCTGTGCCCAGGGACGACTCAAGGCCAGGGCGAGCACAGCCCCCCAGGGGCAGGCTGGTGTGATGCCCAGCTGCGCTGCTCCGCACCCACCAACAGGATGCAACCGTGCAGAAGAAACCCACCGCCACCACAGCCATGTCTTACTCACCCAGAATTTTACGAGGAAGAAGGCATTTTGAGGGCCTTTTCCAAACAGTTCCTTTAAGCCACCTTTCTTTTCAGGAAATTTGTCATAAATCTGACGAATGTCCACTGATTCGAGCAATGGGTCACTGTAAGAATGGTTGGCATGCCCAATGTGCACGAAGAGGTGTTTGTTGTACTGTAAGAAACCAACAGAAACATTCCCATTACAAACCCTTTGGTCAACCTGGGGCACATTTATCTTGAACTGGAAGAGCAGTAGTCTCAAAATCCCGGAATCATGCCTTGAATGGCCTAGGGTCTGTGCCTTTGAAAAGACGGTGATGGTAAGGAAAGCCATTATAGCTCAGGGTTAAAACAATCAGTTTAAGGGCATCTATTTTCCCTAAAAAAGCGTTTTTGTAGACAGTAGTAAAAGCTGAAGTTACCCGACTACCAAACCAAGAAACTGTTCTATCACCCAGTGTCACCTGACTCAACTGAAAATGACAGCAACACCCTTTGGAGCCCAAGAGTTACAGTTAAGCCCAATGAGGAGTAGGTGTGTGGTCAACTAACACCGTCACTCAGAATGTACTTCTTGCTCCAGCTCCTCTAGCAACAGCACAGATGTAGTGCTCCGGGCAATGGTACCCACCAACTTCCTCCAATACGTGTCAGAGTGCTGAGCCTCTTTCTCACCAGTTCCCTTGGTAACCAGTCCAAAGCTTCTGCATAGGGGCTGGTCAGTACATGGTTGTCACTGCAAAGTTAGGGTCGGGAGTACAGCTCATAGAGAGGATTTGTGGTACGAGGTTATATGGGGCCAGTCATCAGAGAACACAGGTCACTCATTCACAAACCAACCAGTCAACCAATCAAAATCCTGTTAAGTCATTTAAACTTATGAAAGAGACCCTTTTTTTCTCTTGCTTTGGTATAAAACATGGTAACTGGACCACGAAGGAGTTATCCAAACCAATGGTTCTCAAGGAACATTTAAAAATCACCAATGCCTGGGGCCATCCAGACTAACGTGGAATCCCAGAAAATGAGGTCAGGCATCAGTAATTTTTAATGGGCATTAAATGAATTCCAGTATGCAGCCAGGTTTGAGAAATGGCCTACACTTTCTACCCCAGACCCTCCATGCCTGCCTCCTGGGCTGAGAAGACTGTAACATCAGCCTAATGGGACACAGAGACATCTGGGGGTGCTGGTGTTGCAGGGAGATTAGAACCCATCAGGGCTCATACGAGAGATTCCATGTCCCTACTCCCCTGGCAGTCCCTATTTACTTTTCAATTTTAAATGGATATTTTTCTCCAGCTACATACAGTCCTTCAGAGTACTGACTCCATTAAAATGAGAAATCCTCCCCAAAAAGAAGGCTTGGTCGAAGCGCTTACTAGAAGAGTACAGTATCCTGGGTAAGAGTACGGGGTCTGGACTCTGCCTGCTCAAGCACAAAATACTGTGCCCACTGAAAACAAGCTAAGACATTGGGTGAGTTCCTCCCCGGTCTGTAAAATGGGGGAAGTGCTAACCTCTGCTTCCTACAGGTGCTATGAGGTTTAAATGAGAAATTGCATATAAGGTTACTAGAGTTCACAGATTCAATGAATAGTAAATGATAAATGCCAGCTATTATTGCTGTTTTATGAAACCCCCTCCATTGAGTTTTACAGTGGATATTAGCATAATTAAAAAATATTTTTTAACTTGGTATAACCTGAAGTTTCCTAAACTCACATGGTCATGAAACCCCATAAATGTTTCCTGAAGAAATGCTGGTTTAAATCCATGACTTGCTATGCAGGCATTGGCTCTCTGGCTATAGGACCAAAGGGCAGGAGGTTCGACACCCCTTCCGATATCAGTCCTGCATGATGATGGACCCCTGGGGGCTGTGGCCAGGGCCTAGCATCTTCTGGGAGAGGGCTAAGCCCCTCTTCTTGTTCAACATCAGAGTGATATTTTTACCAAAGCTTCAAAATCTCTAAAAGGTATCAGGTGAAATGAAAAAGGTGAACCCAACAAGCTCTGCCTTTCAGGTGAGCCAGAGGGCTGGAAACCACTCTGCAGGGACAGATGTACCTGTAACGGAAGAGAATTTTTAAAATAAAGTCAAAGCCATTGCCAGGTTGAGGAGCTGAGACTATGGGGTATAATGGAATGTCTTTGACCTTTTTGTAAACATTCCCAAATGTTGTCATACCATCTTTCCAATTATAAGCCAACAAAAGCCCACGGAAGTGTCTGAGGCACTCCCGCTAACAAGCTTCCATTCTCATTAGTAGGTAGAAGGCAGAAAAAATAACACATGCAGAAATGGGGACAGTGATGCTGGTGTAAAGGCAGAGCGGGAAAGGTGAACGAGTCGTGTGCACTTCCTGTCTAGCTTCTCCGCTTAGTGTCCACTTACCCAGCATTCTGAGAGCTGAGGGCAAAAGGCACTCTTCTTTATTATCCAGATGACTGGCCTTCTGCACATCTGTCCATCCAACCCTTATCAACAACCTCTGCTGGCAACCAGCTCCCAGCCCCACCTAGCTCTGTGTGGGAGGCACTGTTTCTGTCACGTCCTGTGCCACCTGCAGGCAGTGAGTTTATGGGCAAGGATGCAACACAGGCAGAGCTCTGGGGACACCTGTGGCCAGAAGCGGAGTCTCTTCTTTGACTGCCATGCTCTTGGCTCCTCCTCCTGGGCAGCCGCCCATTGGCAGGCAGAGCTAGGACAGAGGTAAGAAGCTGAGACTTGCAGCCCTTTTTTTTTTTTGCTCCTGACTTCCAAAGGCCCCTGCACTCTACTCCTGGAACTCAGGACCTCTACATGTCAAGAGGACAGAAAGGCAAATGGAGGGCAAAATTTAGCATACTTTAAGGGGGGCCATAAAGATATGGCTGAAAATCAAGGTGCTGAGCACAAAGCACCAAAACTCTGGAGCCAGATGAGAACCTGAAATCTCAGTTTTGCTCATATGCGTAAGGGGATACAATATAGGTAATACACACGGGACTGAAGATTAAAGGAAATAATGCACAGAGGGCACTCGGCATAGGGCCCAGCATATAAGAAGTGTTGGATAAATTGCAGCTGCTAAGATGACTATTGTTGCGGTTTATTATTATGGGAGATTACTAGATCTTGGGGGAGAAGAAAAGAACTTTCCTGCTTCAGCTACCCCTCCTGCCTAGCAAAGAAAAAAATAAACACAAGTAAGCCAAGAGCTAGGAACAACTTGTGAAGCCATGTGACTGTTCAAATCCTTGATTCTGGCCCACTCATAACAAGCTACTCAGGGTGTGGGCCTCTCTTATGCCTGAAGGAAGGAAAGAGCTAGGTCTGCTCTGTGCAATGTGCTTTCTATACATGTGACCTCAGGTAATCCTGGCCTCACAATGACACTGTAGGAACATTTTATTAAAATCATTGCATGTGGGGAAATGGAAGTTCCCAGATGAACAGACTTGCCTGAGGTCACACTTCCGGGAATAGTCCTGGAGTTAAGAATAAAACTTGGGCCTGTCAATGCCACAGCCCATGCATTTGGCGCAAACTTCAACCACACCGTCTCCCAGATGAAAATGCCTAGACCCTTCTCAACTCAGATCTACTTTTTCTGAAAGTTGATTTCAGAAAAGAGAAGAATAAAAAAAGCTAACTAGTGTTTTCAAAAAGTCTAAGAAGTTAAATTAGAATTCAGGATAAACATAATGATTCGCAGATGCAGCAGACACACTCTTCAAAGGCTTCTATTTTGAGGAAGTTACCTTTGTGCCCGAGTGGCTTAAATGAACTGAGAAGGGCAGGCTGTCTTTGCCAAAGGAAACCGGGCACTGCCTCTCCAAGGCTGGTGACGTGAAACTAAACCCTAACTGTTGGCATCTGGGTGGCTTTATTGCTGCCAAGAGGTGACTTTGTTTCTAAGAATACAAAGGACTAAAGAAGGTATCCTGGAGACCACAGCAGTGACACAAACCACCCTTCCTCTCCTCTTAATTCAACCTGGGTAGGTCAGGAATCCCTCTCCCCCCAAAACCAGAAGACTGAAAAAGCAGAAACCTACCTGAGATGTATGGGTTCAAGTTTTGATGAAACCAAAGCTCTAAAAAACCACTTGGTAAGGCTCTACTTCCCATCCAGCCAGTTCTCCTTATAAGGGAAGAAGGCCAGCATGAATACCTTAGTTCCCTCTCTCCTTCCCAAATATATCCCATTTTCTTTTCAGCAGTGGTAGTTTCCCCAAAACCAAAGAAGGGTGATTCTATTTTAAAGAGCAGGAAACAAATATGTGCAAAAACAACATCAACAACTAAAATCCCAAGTATTGGGGGTAATATATAAGCAGAAACAGGGTGAATGTCAAGAAGTCATGTATGCTAAAGCCCAAGACTAAATTTTCTTGATGTCCAAAATAGAGGTTAATGTTGGTTTGTCCAATTATTAAAAAAAAAAAAGTCTCCTTAGGCACTCAGGAGATAGGCTGATCATTAACATATCAATGACAATAACAAAAAAGAGTATTCACTCTGCTTATTTCTTTTATGGATTTCAGTAGAACCAGCTTTCCTAGGACACATTCTATGGTAGGCACAGGGAATGTGTGAGCTAAGAGTACAAAAATCCCTCTCTTCATAGAACCTACAGAGTTGACTGTATGGAGCTACCTTATTGCCTCTAAGTTGAGAATCCTCTTTGCCTATGTAAATACAGGTTCTCAAGGATTCCTGTAGAGAAGACTGTGAATCAAGACAGTCAACATCCCCTCTCCTGTACATCACTGACTTAAATCAGCATTCATCTGCTCTTTTTATATGAATGACTGTATTCTCCAGCACTAAACATACGATGTTATTTGGTGGCAAGGAGAACACACTTGGAGCTCACTTGAAAATACACTTGGAGCTCACTTGAAAATGTGCATAAAGTTTCGCAAGTGGAAACCGTGATGAGCACCAAATTACCCATCACATCTAAGAGTAGGATACACTCGGATTTGTAAAGTTTCAGAAAATTAACCCTTCTTGCAACTATTCTCAGACAGAGGAGGACGTTTTCACAAAATGAGGGAATAAATTGCAAAAAGGAGAAGGGGCCATCATTCAGAAGAGGGAGAAAAGAATGCACCGGCCAAGTAGCTGGGCAGCTGACCCGGACAACAGCCAGTCTGGGGTGGATGAAGAGCGGGAGAGGTA